TGCATACGCATGCCTGTATTGGTGCCAAGTAAAACTGTTGAAAAGAGGAGGGGCCTGGGGTTAACACGTTCTACCCTTCATGGTATTCTAGACGAAAAGTCTCATCGAAATAAATTGGTTTGTACAAACTATAACTTTCCCGCACGACAACTGCTAATAAACGTTTTGACAAAAACAACGGAAACCACTTGTACGTTAAAAAAAATTGTGATTTGTAAAAACCTACAGAAACTCAAAAACAATGCAACTAGTTACAAAGCGGATGATTGACAGATCTCATACAATAATTTTTCCAATATTAAATAGACCAAATTTTCAGGGTGCCATGTTTGAACAACTTTTACATTTTCAATAAACCACAAATTCCATCAACGTGCCCGATTTGTAACTACGTCCTTCACTTCACTTCACTTCAGTATAAACTTCAAATACGTAGATTCCGAAAACATTCCTTAACTGAAAGCGTGCGTCGAGATAGGTATTTGATGGACAACTTCCTTTATCCTTTTGCAGACAACATAATTCTTTTAATGTCAAATCGATATGCCGCAGAATGGTATTTTTAGATGACGTTTCAGCTACAGATCATAAAGTTTAATGTGACTTCTGCACGTCAAAGCCAATCAATAACAGAGAGAACATCAGTAAGTAATAGATGCAGGAAATGAAGTTTTGTTCGTTATTTACTTCACTTCCTAATCATTCTTTTCAACTTCCCAAGGATTCAGAGTCGATTCATATTCGCACCACCGTTGTACGTTTCGAAATTTCCCTTCGTAATAAAATGTCGCCCCACTTTGTCGATAAGTGTACCTAATATCCCCTATTGGACAGCAGAACTAAAATTTTATGTTTTTCTTTTATAACCTTTGGCACGCTCTTTTTATACAATGGGATTTTCATTTCCTAATTAAGTTATTTCGACGACGACAATTCCTTTTACTCACTCGCTTTAATTAAGGAATAATTTGTTCGGAAAGCTGCGAATGTCTCATTTCTTACAGCTACAGCAAAATCTACATTTCACAATCTGTAAAGATGGTGTATTACAATGTAATTTAAGAATACCTCAACGAAAATGGCGTGACCAAACGTTAGAAGGTACCTATAACACGATATATGCGGCCAATCCAAAAATAGCGGCACCAGCATGTAATAAATTTAATGGGGTGTGACGGAAGCTCGACGAAAGCCTTGTTTCAAAATAAAACAATAAAACACCAATAACCACAGTAATAGTTTTATTAAATCGGCGCGGCTCATAAAGAAATTTGCACTTTACGATACTTTCAATAATCTTATGGCTCCATGAAAAAGTAATAACGTAGAGGAACGAAATTTATTGTTCATTAGGCAAAACGACATATCGCATATCACTATAGATAGGTTTATGGTGCATTGTCGTTTAAAGCTACCTACTTTCAAACACTCGTTACTCGTTGTTCAATTCACATACGAGTACTATCTTGTTAACTGCTGATTCTGATGATCCAAAATCTAAAGCATAAAATAATTTTAAGCGCGTAATTCAAGCTGTCCACACCTATTTTGGATAACAAGCGTCGAAGGAAATTTAAAAAAAATTACCTTTGAACTCTGGCTCTAACGGCCTTTTGAGCTCATAAGTGCGCTTTTCTGACTTATCTCTAACAGGTAACACAAGCAAACAAAAAAGAGAGATAGTGAATAGCACGGCACAAAATACTTCAGTAGCAGTGTCTAACGTCTGACACTAAGGCGAATCGTATACTAGAACCGTAATTAATACTCAAAAGAATCAATAATTCAATCCACGTTAGCTTGACAAAAGCAAACTATTGACTCGACCACGGATCGCCCGTACAAATCAGCATATAAAAACATGAACGTGACGTTACTTTATGATGCACAAATAGCTAAATTTCTATACATAAATAAATAATATGAACAAATTCTTCGGAATGGCGCAAGTAACGATATTTGTTTCTGACTAGGCCTCGGTAATTTTCAAAAAGTAATTTACAAAGCAACAGTAACTAATATAATCTTATAACAAAGCTAATCTGAAAGATACAACGTAATCAAACTAACAGGAATGAATTTCCGGAGTAACAAAAGTAGACAAGGAAACTACCAGGTAATCCTGAAGGGAAAACGATGCAAGTTTAAAAGAAAACTTTGAAGGAAAATAAATCCCTAAAAAAATACGTATTAAGAATTTAATTCTGAATAATAATTTTCACATACTAATTACTTGCAAAGCAAAGCGTATTCAATGGAGAACAGCCACAGCACATGAGAAATAGATGGGAAACACTCCACAGAAATATGGTGATAGCCAATACCAGGAGCCCTTATTCTGTATAAGTCAAGTAAAAAGTAATGGCGTATCGAGAAAGGTAAGGCCAGATCGTCTCTGTGTGTGAAAGATACAACCGTACGCAAAACCAAATTAAGAAGGGATAGCAAATTCTTCGGATGGCCTGTAGCGGCAAACTAAAGAACTGAGGTAATAACAAATCTAGTACAGGAATAACCTATACATGTTAACTAAATGGGTTTACAAAGGAAATACATAGATGGCGTAAGAATTTAATGAGAGTATATTTCGAAGAGTTATCTTAAACGGAATTTAAATTGGTAAGAAATAGGACGATCATATTCAATAGCACTGATCCTTGAACTCGTAGAAATCGATTGGTGAAGGTTTGACATGTTTTTGACTGATTTTTTTTAAATCTCGAGTTAGACCAGAAACAAAATGGACATACGGACAAAGCACAAGGGAAATGTTCTTTCTCCCTTTGCTGCTGTACCGCAAGTAACAATCCTATTGAACGTGGGTCAAGTTCAATAACCCCGTAACTCTGCCGCTTTTTTGGAGCCTTTCTACGAGGTTTATTGCAGAACCTCCGCCTCCTGAAAACCATGGGTGTGCCTCATTTGAAAGGGTATAATTCATAATCTGCATAAATAGAAAGAAAATGAATGAAAGTTAAGGGATCTCGTTTAAAATAAATATGATTCAACTTCCGCTATAACCGAAATCCGTATATTGAAAGTCTGTTAACTGAAACGGGCTCACTGAAATGTTTCAAAAGTTTGTTCTCCTTAGTTTCCCAGGTAATAATTGACTCAGCTCCTCGTTGGACACCCTGTGTAACATGTGTGACACTTAAAATAAATATGTCGTGCTATACCCTTAAACTCATTGAATTAGACGTGCCAGCGTTGCGTAGACTAGACTATTGTTGCTTGTGACTATTTATCTGTAAATCTCTAAATTGGTACTAACGTTTTTAGCGTATTTTTGGAAATTTATTTGTAAAAAGGTAGCTTTTAATTTCACTTTCGCCAACTGACTGACAGGCTGGGTGAATGGTAGCAAATAAGGGCCTGTAGATGAACCTTGTAAAAAGATAAAGAGTGAACGTGTACATACCGGGGCCGTGTAATTAACAACTTTAGGGACGGCGCTACATTATGTGGGGACGCCGATGTCTGGGCGCTATCCCCGCGCGAGGTTTACTAGCGTGGTGATTTTTCAGTTATTTCCCTGGTTTTTTCCTATCTTCTTCTACAAGCTTCTATGCCCAACTCCTGCATGACGGAATTTGTTTTTAGCATTGGAAATGTTTATGTTTTCGTATATGGCTACAAAGTGACGAGCTTCCTTCGAGACTAAAAGACAACGGTGTCGCAGTGAAGATTGGTTAAGGAAAATTCGCAGATATTGTCAATAACTTGTTGTGTTAATTATAATATAAAATTTTTGGTTTCAAAAATTAAGATCTAGCATTAACGGAATAGGAAATTGACATGGTGTGCGTTTAGCAGAATCGTTGCTTCTTGTGAGTAATTATATAGGTATCTCCATAAATCTTTAGCAGAGAATACACTTTATTTCCGAGAGTCTGCGACAAAAGGGGAAGATAGTGGAGGTTTCAAACCTTGCGCTACATCAAATCACAATCTGAGAACACTACTCCCCGTCAAATATTTCTGTCGGATCATTTGATCATGGAAAGCTTCTGGATTAGGGCTCCTAGTTTCTTTAGGTCGTAATACGATAAGACATTTTATATGAAAAATGACTTTTAACCCTAATGTAACAAAGCCACTTCACAAGCAATTTTATTCCTAAGAATCGTTTAAAACCAGTGTTAGTCAATTATTAAAGAAAAAAATAGTCTACATGCGGCGCGTTGAAAAATGAAATTGTCGTTTAATAACAGCCCTGAACGTTTTTTTTTCGTAAATGCAATACAATGTGTCACGCGACATGCATTCAATTTATTCCATAGCGCAAAAGCTTCGGTTCAAATAATATACTGTTATATTATTCATAGCTCTACTGAACGATTTTTCATATCCAATAAGTATTATATTACTGATATACGTTTCATCTTGAATTTCCTAAACGTAATTCTAAACTGGTTTCCGAGCACCATTCCATTTTCAATCAATTTGTACAACTACATACCTCATTCTTTATTCAAATTTCGTGGCGCATGTAAATACCTGACTGAATTTAGCGATTAGTTTCTCGTTTACCACATTTTGAAATCCAACAGATCTTGCTCTTAGCAGATATAGCAGAGGTGTTCCAAATTAACAATATGAATAGATTTTATTGCATTCTTAATAGTATCTCAAGAAAACAAGTTCTTTCCATTAAACAACGTCACCCTCTTAGTTCTGCACGCGCACGCCACTGTACATAATTTGCAAGCATATAGATTTACAATGATTTTTGATACAATAAACTAAAGTACATAGATTAGTAGCAAACTCCGTAAAAATTTGGATACCATAAAAAGTTTCTTTTAAAAAGATTTTGTTTTAAAGATATATCCAGTGTTCCACACAAAATGTTCACCCTGTATATGTCACCGCATAGGAAAGTTTTTTTTGTAAACAGCGTACGGTTATCAGAGTATAATTATCGACCGATATTCGTTTCTCAAATCTTGAATTATAATCATATCTGTGTGCATTGCTAGAATAAAACAGGCTGTTAGTTACAGGGTGGTGGCGGTGGTGGCTGGTAACTCTCAAGCTGTGACGTTGAGTGGATTGAAAGCAGATACGCAGTATCAACTGACAGTTGCCGCCGTTTGGGGTGGGAAAAGATATCGAAGTCGGCCTATAGTCTTCCGCACGCTGGGTAAGTAAAATTTTAGCACAGCTGGTATTTTTATATAAGCACGTATTTCCAATAATGTGTATCACAGAATTTACAGCTGCCTCCTTCATTCTTTAATCATCCATTTATGAATAAACACCTTACCATTTGTGAAACCGCCGGGCATAAGCGTAACACGCACATTTTGATTAAAAAATTGCTATCCACTACGAATTACCAAATGGCGGATTTAGGGAAATGAGTCCACATAGTATCATGCGATTAGCACAGGGCCTCGGCACCTATACCCGCTTTAGATACAAGGATACAACTTTGTAATGAAATTCAAGTGTGACAACGATTACCTACAATGCAATGTAAGCCAAAGATCTGACTCCTAGAGCATTTGATAATAAACCTTTCGTGTGAATGAATACATTACGTTCGTGTAGATAATATCTCATCCGCTACAGAAATTGGCTGAACCCGTACATTTCCTCTTTTTCATAAAAGCGAGCTGAAATTTTTATTACTTATCGCTTATTCAAACATTCACCACACCTCATTCGTTACTCCAAATTATGACAGTATTGGATAGTGTTTTTGTGAGATCGTTCCAAGAACATCTGGAGTGTGCTCAGGTATTCAATTTTCCATGTTGCAGTTGTTACCCCTTTTCAAAGCTCGTATTTGTAATGATAAATAAATACACCGACGATTGATTCGGTTTGATTATGGCCAGGATTACGGTTTTGTTGTGGTGAAAATTAATTTACATTTTTTAAATTTAATTTGAGTAAATTGATAGTCATGAAGCTAAATCTGTGTTGTGTATGGTCATTAATGCAATACTGAAAGGCTCAATCGTATATCACAATATGTTAAATTACAGATTATTTGTTTTGGTTTATTGCTGATAGGTTTGTTCTGATTGTAGGTACATTCTAGGCGTTCTACTCCTGCATTTTTCGTATTCATTTTTGATATTTCCCTGTATAAAAATAAATGTTTACATTTCTTGTCCTTATCCCTTTCTCTTGGTGTCGAAATTTTCTTTCTCAAACTGATTCCACTTTTCTTTGTTGCGTTCTTAATGAGAGAGAGATAACGACTTTTGTGTGGAAAGTGGAAAATACTAGTGAGTCTATAGCCGAATATCCCTTTATGCAGTTTCACCACTCCGCCGTTACAGCTTCATATCTGCTAAGGAGAACGTAATAGACGGAGAGCTGGCTACGGAAAAATGTTTTTATCATGGCTGATTTTTTTGGTAAAGTATCCCGATACATAGTTAGGTAGAAACCGTCATGTTTGTCAGCGAAATCCCGTGGCTTAAGGCTGGGAGGAGCTAAAACTTCCGTTCATCCGGCTATATTTACCTCTAGCGCCTTTATTTGGAACCCGACGCCAAAAATGTGTGAGACTTTTTTGTACAGCTCATGAAGACACATCTATTTTTGTATTTAACATTTTTTGCTATGGGGCTTACTTTTCAAGAAAAGTCCAGATTTAAAAAAAAATTATAAAATTAGTAGTTTAACTTTTCAATTTAAAATTTCTCAAAAACTAAGAAACTCGCCAAAAACTGTAATGGACATTGGCCAGTGTATGCGAAAGTGATTTTTTTTGTTATGGCTCTTCAAACTGTATTCATGTGGTTCGTTTCTTCTGAGCACGATAACTCAAAAAGGCCTAAACCTATTTTGTTGAAATTTGGAATGTATATAGGTTAGCATGGGGAATCGCAAACGTCCTATTTTGATTTCGGTCCGTTACCATCTGCAAGGTTTTTGAGCGTGACAAACGTTTAATAGGGCCACAACGGCTTGAAAAAAATGTTTGTGATTCTTTTCGCATACACTAGCTAATGTGGCATAAAAAAGAAAAATATTAAATACAAAAAAAAGATGTGTCTTGATGAGCTGTGCAAAAAAGTCATCGACTTTTTGCGTCGGGGGCCCCCTCCCAGCCTTAACCCACGGGATCTCGCTGGCGGACAAGACGATCTCTACTTGGCTATGTATCAGGATACCTTACCTACAAAAAAATCAGCCATGTAATTATAACTAACATTTTTCTGTAGCCAGCTCTCTAATACTATCAAGAGTTCGAACATTTTCTTGAAGTTTCGTGGTGAACCTTATAATAAAATTTTTAAAAGAGCTGTTTCGTATTTCAAGTGCTAAAGGAATATGCGGGACTACTTCTCATTAGAATTTTTGAGACCGATTGGAGTTCCAGATAGTACCTCAAGATTCAAAAAGCTATTCCAATAAGTAAGGACTTGTTTGGAAGCCAATAATAATAAAACTATAGATGATGCTCTGCTTCGGCTTCGAGTCCTGATTAGAGTTCTGATCGAGTCCCTCGAGTTTTCAAACTCTCCATAATCGAATGTTGTTGGTTTTATTGGTGGTACACCTTAGAACTAAGATGTCAAAAGAATGTTTAATATTTAAACTACTAAGAAATATATCATGTTGACTTTTGATGAGTTTTGTATAGGCCCTTTTACCACCCGCATGTTAGTAAGGGAATTATGTATTGGAGTAAAAAATGATCTACCCACTTTTTAAAGGAAATACACGTTTTGAAGCACCAGGAACCCGAATCAAACCATATCTCGATGATGTCGGTCTGTCTGTCGGTCCGTCTGTACTACCATTTACGGCTAAACAGCTGAACCGATGGGAATTAAATTTGGTACACATACAGACATACTCTTAGATATAAAAGGAACACTCAGATTCAGACAAGGTCTTTTGCATTGATTTTTCGCGGAACTATTGTAATAACTCTTATTAGGAACTTTAGCACTATTGATAATCTCGAAAAGAAGTTCTTTTTTCAAACAAAAGGGCCGGAGGGGGCGTCAATTTAGGGACCCATATTGTCCATACCCCCCACCATGAAAACTTGTTTTCAACTCAAATTGTACCTAAAAAATACCAAAAAAAAAATGTAATTATTAAACATTGAATAACCTTAAATTTTCCCAAATACCATTGCTCCCGCATAATAAAACAAAAAAAACAAATCTCAAAATGAGATGAAAGAAAAAAAAATCCCTAACTTTCTCTATATACTCCAAAACTGATAAGATCTACTGTGTAGGTAAAGGACATATTTTAACGACAGGTCGCGTAAAGCTCCCTTTCGTGGTTTTAACTTTAACAACTCTGATCGTACCATCCTCTCCGGGAAATACGTCCGTGACAATTGCTAACGGCCAATGTAGTGGCGGTGAATTATCTGCCTTTAAAACTACTACCGTTCCAATTTCTATATTAGGGCTATCTTTATACCACTTTTTCCGAGTTTGCAACGTATTAAGGTACTCCAGGTGCCATAGTTTCCAAAATTCTTGAATTAAACGATCGATCATTTGGAACCTATCCAATCTATTGAGTGGAATCTCTAAAATTGGTTCCGCAGGTAAATTACCCAACGGTGACCCGGTCAAAAAATGAGCGGGGGTTAAAGCGCTCGGGGAAAAAGGATCCGCCGACAATCGACACAGAGGCCGAGAATTTAGTAACCCTTCGATCTGTGTTAAAAAAGTAGCGAATTCTTCGTATGTTAACAATTGATCACCGATAACTCTGTAGATATGACTTTTGGCTGATTTAACCTGACTCTCCCATATACCACCCATATGTGGTGCCGAGGGAGGGTTAAACTTCCATTCAACGCCCTGGGTGGATAATTCCGCCATCAGCGTATCGGTATACTCCCGAGAATTTAAAAACATGTATAGATCCGAAAGTACCCGCTTGGCTCCGATAAAATTGGTTCCCTGATCCGAATAGAGAACCCCACAAGGACCTCTGCGAGACAAGAACCGCTTAAAGGCTTGTAAAAAATGATTAGTTGATAAGGAACTTACCAGTTCCATATGTACAGCCTTTATGCTCATGCACACAAATAAACATACGTAAGCCTTATACATCGACGTTCCTCGCCTCCTACCTAAAGTAATATTGATAGGCCCGAAATAATCTACTCCCGTATGCAGGAACGCTTTAGCTGGCTGTACCCGACAGGATGGTAAGTCCGCCATTATCGGAGGTTTTGCAAGTGGTTTACGCCTAAAACAGTGATTGCACGCATGTACCCGACTTCTAATGAGATTCCGACCCGCTATTATCCAATATTTTTGTCTAATGATAGCCTCCAGTAAGTGAGGCCCCGTATGCAGATTAGTCTGGTGATAATAATCCACTAATCTATCAACCAATGGCTCTTTAGCTGGCAAAATTAGGGGATGCTTTTGATCAAAGGTTATTTGGGCCCGACCCAATCTAGCCCCCCACCCTAAGTAATCCATCTTGAACTAATGGTCTTAATTTCCGCAATTTTTCCGAACATTCCTTACCCAAAACTAATTGTTTGATATCAAAACCGAAATGTTTAGATTGAACCATTTTGAATTAATATAGACTCCGCTATAAATAAATCTTTAGAAGTAACAAATTCTCCCAGTTGAATTAATTTTGCAAACCGAAGTACCCATACCGTAGTCCTTAAAATAAATGACCAAGACGAACGACGCAAAACCAACTCATATAAGGGATGTTCTTCCTTTTCCCGAACATTGACTAAACTGGTGTGTATATGTTGATCGCCTTCTAGACCTTCCTCCCCCAAATCAATAGAAGTCACTGGCCAAAGTGATTCAGTGATTTGTAACCACGCTGGGCCCGACAGCCACAAACGGTGTTCCATTAATTGCAAAGGGGACAACCCTCTAGAAAGACAATCTGCAGGATTTTCCGTACCACTCACATGGCGCCAGACACTAGAAGGCAGATTTTCCCTAATCTGTTCTATCCGATTAGCCACAAAAATATCCGTAATGTAGGTTGACTTCAACCATTGAAGCACCGTAGTCGAATCTGAAAATGCATAAGTTTTTGAAATTACGATTCTCTCTCCATAAACTTCGATCACGTGCTTAAGCAATTTGGATAACAATGTTGCCGCGCAAAGTTCCAATCTTGGTATTGTGATTTTTTTGAAAGGAGATACCTTAGTGTGGTGTC